AGGGTGATGATAACACCCCAAGGGCTCTGTGTGAGTGGAGGCCTCAAAGGAGCCCCAGGTGGGGGGCATCACAGGGGAAGGGTTCCTGGCTGTTCGCCTGACTGCTAGCCATGTACTTATCACCACTGAAAGACTCCTTCACTTCTGCTTGTCCAAAGTCTCTGTCCGAGGCCATCAATGCCTAGAGTTCAGGCCCCTCCTGTGTGCCCTCCTGTGTAAACTCCCATGCAAACTCCGGCTCACCCTAGAAGAGTGTGCCTGTTTGCATGGTCTATTCTTGCAGCTCGGGAGCATGGCTCCCTCCCAGTACAACTATATGGGGACCAGAGGGTGGAAAAACTCTTCTGGATTCCCTACAGCTGGCCCCTTACTTCACGCTCCGCCCCGCCCCCCCCAGCCCCACCTACCTCTGTGGTAATTCCTTGCTTGGCAGAGGCAGATCCAGTGTGGTGTGGTTGGGGGGAGCTGAAGGCACATGTGTGCTACCGCACACGTGTGCCTGCTTCAGCATTTGGGCCCAAATCTTTGATCTTTCAGTGATACTAGAAAACATCAATGGTGAGATGCTAGCTGTATTGTACTTAGGGCCTTTACACCTGAGTTAGGGCCTTTACTTCAAAGAGATCTAAATATTGCCCCAGATCTACACACTTCTTGACCACATCTACATGAGACGCTGACTGTGAAGTCATTACTACACAGTCATCTAGTACTTGTATACTTAGTATAAACAAGTACTAAACGACTGAGCAGTAACTGGAGTTACTGCAGAGTAGCATCACTGGACAGCTTTTAGGTGACGCTGACTGCACAGTAGCTTGTTACTACTGTGCAGTAGTATCGTGTCATGCTTCCTGCCATGTGATACTGCTGCACAGTAGTAATGAGCTACTACTCAGTCAGTTTCTCATGTAGATGCCGCCCTTTAAAATGAAACTGAATTAACATCTTATAAATAAAGGTACTGATCTGGCAAATGGCCATGTATGGGTATGTCCTCAACTGTGGCATCTTTAGGACTGGAGCTTTGGGAGGTAATTGAACATTTAAATAACACATACAATTATAATACTCATATATCAATCAAGTTTTTGAATAGGAGCTGCTAGAAAATGAGCGCTTTTGAAAACTCAGAAGCACTTATGTAGGTGCCTAAATATCTACTTAAAATTCTAACTTTAGTCATCGATTTTAAAACTCTTGCTCTTTTTGTATGGCTGCTACCCTGATGAGGAATAGAGGATTTTTACCTTGAAAACTGATATTTTTCTAAACGTTGTCTTCACCTATATTACAGGAGGGGAATTATTATTCTTTCTATTTTTTACTCCAATTATCTATGGGAATACAGTTTCACTTGCTTTTGAACATAATGGATCTGTTATTTCTCTGGTCTTCCTCTTACTTTTGACATATTTGCAGAATCCCTTTTTATTGCCTTGTATGTCTCTTACCAGTTACATTTCAAACTTTAATATAAAAAGTTGCATTTCAAAACATGCTTTAGCCACCTTAATTTTCTCCTTGTGTGATATTCTTATACTTTTCCCTAATGCTATGATTAAGTTCAGCATTTTATATTATTCCTTTTTGAGTTTTAACTCACTGAAGAAATTCCTGTCTAGCCAGGCTGGCTTCTTATTGCACTTCCCATGCTTTTGTTGGATCAAGATAGCTTGCTCCTGTGCCCTTAAAAGGGCCTCCTTGAAATACAGCCAGCTTTCCTGGACTCCTTCCCTCCTCAGACTTTTCTCCCAGGGGATCCTGCCCACCAGTTTCCTGAGTTTGTTAAAATCAATTTTAAGCTTTTCTGTAGTCCTCCTTCCTTCCTCCCCTTAGGACTGTGAACTTTATTATTTCATGGTCATTGTCACTGAAATTACCTTTCACCTTCACATTCTCAATCAATTTCTCCCTGTTTAAGTAGCGAGTCAAGAAGAGCTTACCTTCTACTTGGACTGTCTATCATCTATATCAGTTAAAAGTTATCCCCAACACATTCCAAGAATTTACGGGATTGCCTATGCACTGCTGTGTTTCCTTCCCAAAAGATTCCCCAATAATTAAAGTGCCCCACGAAAACCAAGTCCTCAGATTTGAAAGCTTCCATCAGTGGTTTAAAGAAGGCCTCATCTACCTCCTCCTCCTGGTTTGGAGGCCTATAGCAGATACCCACCATAATATCCCCCATAACATGCTGTTGTCCCCTCTGAGCTTTACCCAGAGGCTTTCAATAGGCCTCCCTTCTACTTTGTACTGCACCTCAGAACATGTATACATCACCTTTCTATATAGAGCAGCACCTTTTCCTTTTCTTCCCCTGTGTATCCTTCCTGAACAAGCTATACCCATCAGTGAGGTACTCCAGTCTATGAACTATCTCACCATATCTCTGTAAATCCCAATTATATTATAATTCTGTGCTTGTATTAGACCTCCAATGCTTCCTGTTTGTTACCTATGCTTTTCACATTGGTATAAGGCATCTAACTGATTGTCTTATCTTTTCCCTGAAAACATTGATAAGGCTTCTGCTGTTGCTTCTCCCTTAATACATTTTTACCAAATCCCTTGACTCTTCACTTGCCTCTGGACTTTTGTCTCCATCCCTTGGGAAGCATAGTTCATATGCCTGTGACAAATTTGTGCACAATAAATGGACAACAGTTAGAGGAAGACCAGAGAAACAGTAGGTCCCTTATGAAATAGAAAAGGCAATCTAGTTATGGATTATACAGAGAAGTTTGAAGTATTTAATGTATATTTTACTTTAGCCTACACAAATAGGGACAGCGATCAGATGATAAGTGCAGTTGGCAGTGAAATTTGGGAAGAAGACAACATCCTAGAGTAATAGAAGAAACAAATAGGGATTAGATGCTTTCAAGACAGAAGGGCTGGATGGGATGCACCGTTGGGTACTGAAGAAATTGACTGAAGTAATTTCAGACCCATTGGTTATCCTCTTTGAGAATGGGTGGAGGTCAGGTGAGGTCCCAGATGACTGGAAAAGGGCAAATATAGTATCCATCTTTAAGAAAGGAAAGAAGGAGCATCAGGCCAGTCAACCTGACCTCAGTACCTGGAAAGATCATAGAGCAGGTCCTCAAGGAATCTATTGTGAAGCACCTAGAGAAGAACAGGTGATCAGGAAGCTCTAGCCTGGATTCACTAACAGCAAGACATGCCTGACTAACATGATTTTCTTCTACCATAAGGTAACAGGTTCTGTGGATATGGGGAGAGTAGTGAATGTGATATGCTTTGATTTTAGTGGGGCTTCTGAAACTGGGACATTCTCATTAACAAGCTAGGGAATGCAGACTAGGTGACAGTGCGGTAAAGTGGCTGTATAACTAATTGGATCATCATGCTCAACCAGCAGTCATCGGGAGGGATCCCCATTTTCTGTGATAAAAAAAATTCTGAAATTTTTGGATATAAAAAATAACCCCAAATCCACATTTTTCCATTATTAAAATGAAACACCACTAATATATATATGGATAAATGTGGATTTTGGGTTTTTTTATATAAAAAATTTTGGGATTTTTTTTTATCAGAGAAAAGCAGGATCCCTGGTCCTCAGTAGGAGGAGGTATCGATCTGGGCTCCCAAGGACTCTGTCCTGGATTCAGTATTAATATTTTCTGTAATGATTTGATTGAAGGGATCAAGTACACACTTAGCAAATTTGCAGATAACAACAAGTTGGGTGGAGTTGCAGACATTTTGGAGGCTAGCATTCAGAATGACGTGTATAGACTGGAGAAATGGCTCACAATCAATCAGTGAGGACAAATGCAAAGTCCTGCACATGTCATGGAGTAATTGCATGCACAAATATAGACTGGAGAATGACTGGTTAGGCTGCAGTACTGAAGAGAAGGACTTGGGGGTTACAGTCGGCCATAAGCTGACTATGAACCAACTGTGTGCTCTTGTTTCAAAAGTGGCCAACAGCATACTGGGTGGTATTAACAATTGTCTTTTACAACTTGAGAGAAGTAATTCTTTAGCTCTATTCAGCACTGGTGAGTCCTCACTTGGAATACTGTGTCCAGTTTTGAACTCCACGCATTGAGAAGGATGTGGACAGATTGGAGAGAATCCAAGGGAGAGCAACAGAAATGATGAGGGGCCTGGGAAGCAAGAATTATGAGGAAAGATTGAAAAAACATTGGTTATTTTAGTCAGGAAAAGAGAAAACTGAGGGGGGGGGCGTGGAATTTGATAACAATCTTCAAATTACACAGAGACTGGAGATGGGTTTTTCTCTGCGGCTATAGGGGACAGGACTAGGAGCAATGGGCTCAAGCTTTAGCAGGGGAAATTTAAGTTGAAGATTAGGAGGAACTTTCTGACTATGAGGGTGATCAGGCATTGGAAGTGGCTACTTAGAGAAATTGTGGAATCTTCGTCCTTGGAGTTTTTCAAGAAGTGGTTGAACAGACACTTGGTTGAGATAGTTTAGTTGGAAATGATCCTGCCTTGAACAGGGGGCTTGTGAAGTCTCTTTTAGCCCTACTTTCCTATGATCCTATGCCTGGGGAAGAAGGGAGACCAGAAGAGCTGCTCAGACTTGATTCAGAATCATTGCTGTTCTCCAGGCATCTAGGCTGTGTGTCAGCTGTGGGAGTACAATTTCCTCAGATAAACTATCACCATAAAATTAGCCCAAATTTAATATATCACTGTTAAAGACATGCTTGGTAGCATATGTATCAATCCCCATTTTGAGACAGAAATCTAAAACCTGGAGCTGGTTTGAAGCTATTTAAGTTCAAAACAGGCTGATGATTCCAGTTCCCAATGAATGGCCGGAACATTTTCTTTATATGGAACCTCTTAAGACAACTGAGACTGTTCATATGCCTAATACACACCAGCATTGGTAGGATCAGTCTCCCTGGCTTCAAGTGGGGCCACAGTGGATGGCTTCTATTTACTTTCTCTTCCTGTTCTCTAACTGTTCTATACAACCTTCATTTTATTCTAAGCTTGGATGACTACAATCGTCTGGTTACTCTGTGTAATGGGACTAATGAAGGGCTACTGAGAAGGAACCCACGAGGAAGGTTGAATGAGCAGCTGCCTACCATGGAAGATATTCGGAACTGTCTTTCACTCCAAGAGTTTGATAGTCCGCCATTTTTCCGGAATTCCAATTTCAGCTTCAGGTTTGTGCTCTGATTTCTGAAGCTTGTTTTGCCCAGGAAAAGGTTATTATTTATGTGTTTGTAGGTAGAGTTGGTCAATAGATGGTTACTTCATGTTGTTTTATCCTAAAC